AAAATAAGAAAGAGGGAAGCCAGAAATCAACACAAAAAGAGTAGCAGTAAGAAAGTGAGGAGTGAGTATCACTTGGCCTTCTTCTGAAATATGGACTTGTGGAAACCATAAAACGCCGTAGCAATATACTTATTCTGGGTCATATTGTCAATTATTAATGGAAGTGAAGCACAGAGTTGCCCAGTTTTGAGCATAAGGCCAACCTTTATCAAGGTGTTATAACATTTTAAAGTGTGTCAAACAACAAGTGTGTTTCAAAATAATTAAAATTATATTTAAAAAAGATGCATATATTGGATCTATAATTTCATTGGTCTTGTAGAACGAGAGTGATGTACGCGTGCTCGCATGCTTTAATGAAAAACACAAACATCCTCGATAAAGAGAGGCGAGTTGCCCCTCGAAATATTGGAACAATAAAATATTTATAAATCCAATATATGCATATTTTTTGAATATATATATTTATATCTATAGCACACAAAAAAATTAAATTACTTTGAAAAAATTTAAAATTTATTTCTTTTTAACTTTAAATGTTTGATAAAAAGTTAACATGGTTCTGTCTTTGCTCTTTTTCTTATCCTAATACCTTCAATTCTTCCTTTTTTTTCCTATGTTCTGCTTCTATGACGCGTAACTGCCGATGCTAACCTTTTAAAAAATATATATTGAAATATTTCGTTCTCCTTTTGAACAGTGTATATCGTCTCAATCCATTGGTTAGTAGCTGGCAGTATTCGTATCCTTTCACAGCTTCCTTTCTATGGCTGCCAGGTCTTTTGATGGTATCGTCTTGTTCCATCTAAAAATTGTCCATTGACTCCATTCTCGACCTTTTTTTCTTTAAATTCACGGCTTCCTTATTCCGGCTGTGTTGATATCTTAGCTTCCGTGCAGTTCTTCTGTTGTTCCTGAAAGAAAGCATAAGATCCCCATCAACAACTTTTACAATTGAAAAAATATATAGTAGAACCTCCTTTTAACGGACACCCCGCTAGCAGACATCTCTCCACAAAGGAAAGTTTTCATTTGTAAAATTACCATTTTTACTATTTAGCAATTCTCTGGTAAGAGGACACCTCTCCCTAAAGGACACTTTGGCTCTGTAATTAGGTGTTGTCCTTTACATGGAGATTCTACTGTATATGTTATGAATAATATGTTTTGTTGTAAAGATAAAGAATTGAAGGTGCAGTCATGATAAAAGAAAAATAGAAAGTAATTATTTACTATCAAGTAGTTCATTTTCAATTACTTGAAGTAAAAATTATACATTAAATATTTATCACAATTATATAGAATTATATAGAATTACATAATGAATTTACAATTATATAGAATTTATACATTATTTATAATTCACAAAATGAATCCTATAATAGTGAATTTTAAAAATAGGTAAGTTAACTATACATATTTACAACAATATTCAAAGTGGTATCTTCTAAATCTATGGTCAAAAATGTAGAATAGTCAATGAATGTGAAAATAAAATATTTGAAATTTATTTTTTTTTTTTGGTCAGAAGAATAGGATTCTTGCCTGAAAGTTCGAAAGTTTTAATAAACCAAATTATTTGAAGACAATCTGTTGGTTTACTGTGGTTCATATAGGAAAGTGATTGTCGTTTTTCCCCAACCACCTTTATGTCCCGTCAAATCCTTAGTGTAGATTGATTATAAAGGATTGATAGATTAGACACAGATGATCAATAAAAGTATTTAGTTCAACAAGATATGTCAGTAGGAGAGCTGGGAATAGATGCCAGGTGTCTGGGAGTTTCCAGAACATTGTTGGCCTGGTTCTTTCTGGGTTCTGTCCGGCCTCCCTGATTGATCTCCAGGGAAACAACGATCTTGTCAGAATGTCACGTACATCCTCAGAAAACTCACCTACATATCGTAAGTACGCTTCTTCTTCAGAATTTTGGCCTTTTTTTCCATTTAGCGCTATTTGGATCATTTTTATCTGGATCCATTTTACTGATTTGAAAACAACATACAACGCTATCTATCTGGGTTTTTTTTCTGCTTATTCCTAGTACATGTGGTACAGGCCATGATAATCATGGTGGGTATAAGAAGGCGACTACTTTTACTGCAAGTGCATCTCATGTCTATACATGTGAAAAGCAGTTCGACTTTTGCACTTACAAATGTGCCAGAGAGCCCCGTTTGGTTACTTGCACTCGTTGGTGGGGTTGGACTTTTGCAAGAATCGGGAGCCATTGGAGCATTTTTTTTATCAGAAAAAAAGTTCCAAATGCGGGAATCGAACCCGGGTTGTAGCGGTCGAAAACCAATGGTTTAGACCATCCTTCCACCGACCCCCGTTATCTATCTGTGAATATATGAATTCATCATCATTATTTGTGATAATTTGTTTATTTTTCTTTTTTTTTTTAACGACGTGCAAATTTCTTAATTATTATATTTAGTAGTTAAGAAAAAAAAGGCATCTCCTTATCGTGCAACTAAAAGTTGCTGATGGCTTGCACGATAAAAAATATTCTTGTTTTTATGCACCTTATCCCAATACTATATCACATTTATATTTTTATAGTTGTAAAAATTTTACATTAAAGTAAAAAAATGAACGCTCATAATGAACGCGTTCGTGGATGGCTTTTCTTGATTTATCAAGAAATTGGGTTGGCCAAATATCACGGAACAAGTTAAATAAATGTTTAGTTTATTTCTGTTCCACTAGATGGCGCTCTGCCATCTAAAAAGCACATGTGCTCGTGGTCAGGATATGCTCTCTTTATTTTTAATATCAACACCTGACCCACTTATTTTTTTATTTTTTTCTATTGTTTTTTCATATAGAAATATATAATATATCGATTGCGCTGTTGGTTTCGCCCAGTTGTACCCGAGATAAAGTTTGTCTAACACACGATAATTGTTTAAACAAGGATATCAGTAGTTTTTCTGCTCGATTTCGCTGAAGGAATCTTGTTGTTTTCCATCAAACATGATTCAACAATATTATTATTATCCTTTTCTCTGACTAAAAAGAGGTAAATTAGTCCAGTATTTAGTTAAGTTGATATTTTGTTGTTTGAAAATGTAGCAAATGTTCCTTCTTCTAGATTTAACTATATATCCTGTTGAAATTTCAGCCAGATATTTGCCATTATTTGCCGATACTGACTTGTGGCCAACTTGTGAACTTTCTCTTAAAGATAGGGGATACCTGACAGGCATTCATATTTCTTTAAAATAGACACTTCAGCCAGCTTAACACCTTTTAACACCTTGCCAAATTATTTATTTTTATTTCTCCTGACGAAGACAAAATATTTTTGTTGAAACGTTGAGAAAATAAAAAACTCTAACTGGCCAAAGTGTCTATTTTTAAAGAAATTGTAAACGTTCTATTATTTTAATTAGTTGAAAGCCGGTAATGAGAGAGGAGAATCTGTATAATTCTGGTGTCTTAACGTAAATGTTTCCCCTTCCCTCTCCTCTTGTTGACGTGTAAATACGGCGAATCCTGTATGGGGCGGAATGCCCTAAATAAAGGCTTTTGTTGTTGTTGTTGTTGTTGACTGGTGTCTTAATAAAGTCTTTTTGTGTCTGTGTATGATATTAAATACAAGCTTGTAGTTGCAAGCCGGCAATGAGAGAGGAGAATCTGTATAAGACTGGTGTCTTAATAAAGTCTTTTTGTGTGTCTGTGTATGATATTAAATACAAGCTTGTAGTTGCAAGCCGGCAATGAGAGAGGAAAATCTGTATAAGACTGGTGTCTTAACGTAAATGTTTCCCCTTCCCTCTCCTCTTGTTGACGTGTAAATACGGCGAATCCTGTATGGGGCGGAATGCCCTAAATAAAGGCTTTTGTTGTTGTTGTTGTTGACTGGTGTCTTAATAAAGTCTTTTTGTGTCTGTGTATGATATTAAATACAAGCTTGTAGTTGCAAGCCGGCAATGAGAGAGGAGAATCTGTATAAGACTGGTGTCTTAATAAAGTCTTTTTGTGTGTCTGTGTATGATATTAAATACAAGCTTGTAGTTGCAAGCCGGCAATGAGAGAGGAAAATCTGTATAAGACTGGTGTCTTAACGTAAATGTTTCCCCTTCCCTCTCCTCTTGTTGACGTGTAAATACGGCGAATCCTGTATGGGGCGGAATGCCCTAAATAAAGGCTTTTGTTGTTGTTGTTGTTGACTGGTGTCTTAATAAAGTCTTTTTGTGTCTGTGTATGATATTAAATACAAGCTTGTAGTTGCAAGCCGGCAATGAGAGAGGAGAATATGTATAAGACTGGTGTCTTAATAAAGTCTTTTTGTGTGTCTGTGTATGATATTAAATACAAGCTTGTAGTTGCAAGCCGGCAATGAGAGAGGAAAATCTGTATAAGACTGGTGTCTTAATAAAGGTTTTGTGTGTGTATTATTTTAAATAGTTTTCCTTGAAAAGATTGACAACAGGACGTCAAAAAAGTATGAGGAAAAAAAGGTAAAAAAAAGTAAATCATTGTGAACTCAGTTATAAATCCACTCTACAAAATAATGTTTACCTTTATGATAACTGTGACGAAATTAAAGAGGAACGGAAAAAAATGTTGCGTTTAGGTAATATTTCTTCGCTATATCGAGGGAATGGAAACTGATGAAAAGATTTAACAAATGGACGATCTTTCGTTATCGGAGGAAGGGTGGAAGTGAGGGTGAAACAGTTCCTCTTTCTGGAAAATTTCCACTTTGTCTACTATAGTAACAACTTTTTCTTTCTCACTTGAAGAGACTCTGGGGGTAAATCCATTTATAAGAAATTTCTTTTCCTCCAATTTACCCAGACTAATCTATTTATACAATATAATGCTGCCTATGATTGTAGAACGACATTTAAAAATATCCCGCATGTGTTTCTTTTGAACGAAAAATCTAAACTTATTTTAAGGAGAAATAACAATTATTTCTAACCTTAGGGATGAAGTATCAAAGGAGATGAATTGTGAAGAGTAATGATAAACGGAAAAATAAAAGTATCCAGGGATGGGAATCGAACCCACAGTGTTCTGCTTACCGGGCAGATGCCATGTCCACTAGGCTACCCTAGACATTTATTAGCTTGATTGTCTTAAGAATTTTCCTGTATATAAATTTTATATTACTATTATATGTGATTATATTTAAAAACTATAATAATAATAATGCTTATTACTGGTATTATTACTGTATTATTATAGGCTGCCTGACCGGCTTTCATATTTCTTCGGTATTATTACTGTTAAACGACATTTGACATACTATCCCGCATGTGTTTTACCCATCCCTGGACACTTTTATTTTTCCGTTTATCATTACTCTTCACAATTCACCCTTTCATATCTCATTCAAAAGGTTAGAAATAATCGTTATTTCTCTCCTTGAAATAAATTTTTATTTTTCGTTGAAAAGAAACACATGCGGGATAGTATTTCAAATGTCGTTTTGCAATCATGGGCCGCATTGTATTATATTGTATTATTATTACTGTTATTCCTTCATGTAATCCTAAATTTCTGTTCGGAGAATCTGTATAAGAATAAAAGATCTTAACAAAGATCGTTGTAGTAGTAACAACTAGGTAGAGAACAACGGGGAAAGTGGTAATTTGCTCACTTTAAGAAGGAAATTTTCTTCAACTTCTAAATTATTCTACCACTATTTAGGGTAAGGTCAAATATGCTAATGATTCCAGTTTGGTTCGAAAGTATGTACTTTAGATGTTAAGAGGTTAGAGTTTTTTTTTTTTTTTGGCAAACATGAACTTCATGGACAAAACTTAAGGAAGTGAGAATTCTTTGATGTCGCCGTTCATTTTTTTGTTTTGTTTTTTGAAGGAGACAGACAATTTGTTCACACTTAGTTATCTCGTGTCTTCAATAAAGGTCACTGTAATATCTTTCAGAGTTATTATCTGAATCCCGATATACATGCTAAAAAGTACAACTTCCTTAAGTTTTGTCCATGAGTGTATATCCTGGGGTACTCTTTCTTTACTCTTCTTATATATTGAAAAATTAGGAAAGACAAACTCCAAGATGACACGGTAATTTATTTAACGCAAGCACAAAATCAACATTTATAAGTTACAAGAAAATCAATGAGGGAAGTTTACAGAGAGTTGCACAAAAATAAATAATATAAATATTAAAAAAAATAATAATCTGTATATAAAATATGATGCATTAGCGCACTATCTGTTATGAAAATTATAAATATATATTTATAAATAAAAATAAAGAAAGCATATCCTGACTAAAAGAACATGTGATTTTTAGATGGCAGAGCGCCATCTAGTGAAACTGAAATCAACTAAACATTGATTTAACCTGTTCCCTGATATTTGGCCAACCCATTTTCTTGATAAATCAAGAATGGGTGTTTGGCCAATTCTCTGGAATAATTTAAAATTGAAGAGAATAATTGATATTTATTCCGATAGATGGCGCAAGCCATCAGCAACTTTCAGTTGCACGATAAGGATGCCTTTTTCATAAAAGAAATGGTCTATAAAAGTTTAGATATTGTCATAAAATATAATAAATACCTTGCTACAATATTGGTTCAAAGGACTTTTTTATTGATTGATGTATTTATCATAGAGTAGAGATTGAAACTGATTTATTACAACGTCCATATAAGATTATATAAGGTTAAATACAGAATAAATATGATTATATAATGATAAATACATGAATAAATAGATATAAATATATAAAATAATTGATAAATATACATATATACAGTATATAAATATCTATAAATAAATATAAAGCATATATTGGATCTAAATTTATTATTCAACCAACATTTCTAGGGGCAACACGCCTCTCTTTATCAAGGCTTTTCTTTGATTTAAACTAAATCACGTGGATATGTGATCCACTCACGCTATACAAGACCAAAGCAATAAACCATCTAATGAAAATTTCACTTTATATAACATATTATGGATGGCTCAATCTTTAAAATATAAATATATATACAAGGTGTTTATTGGTGGGGCCCACCGCGGGAAAGACTCCGCCACCGATGGACTGCGAGAGTTCTCTCCCACAGAGTGGGCAGGTCTAGGTGATGGCTGGTGTTACCCAACTCAAGACCAAGATGGTACTTGTAGATGGTAGCCTTCGCTACACTGGTTAGTTTCACTGCCTCGGGATGGAGGCCGACGCCGAAGAGCCAGGAGTAGAGAGGATATACAGGGATGGCTTCCCCCTCCAACTAGAGGATGGGTGGACCACCATAATTCGACATGTAATTCCACCCAACCATCCACACAACAAACCGGACGTCACCCCCGACCTTTGTGCTTCCAGCTACTGTACTAGCGGTAGAGGTAATCTCGTCTATGCTCACCTAGCTGTGTTTGGATTTTATTTTAGCTGAAGAAGAGATAGTCCCGAAAGCTTCTATTATTATTATTATTATTATTATTTATATATATATACAGTTAAACCTGTCTATAGCACCCCCTCTAAATAGCGCCTCCCTCTCTATAGCGCCCGATTTTAAATACGTAGTACGATGCGATATTTACATTAAAAGTGACCTGTATATAGCATCCCCTCTCTATAGCACCCTATTTTGGTGAGTCCCAAGAGGAGGCGCTATAGACAGGTTTAACTGTATATAAAAGTGATAGAAAAAAAAAATAAAAAGGTCAGGTGTTGATATTAAAAATAAAAAAGCATATTCTGACCAGGAGCACATGTGTTTTACAGATGGCGCTCTGCCATCTAAAAAGCACATGTGCTCCTAGTCAGGAAATGCCTTTTTTAAATATATAAAAGGGTTGAAGCGTCATATACTCCTTTTTATAATTGTTTTTTTTTTTCTTATCCCAAGTATACACCTGGTATAGGTTATGATAATCATGGTTGTGGTTAGCGAATGTTTTTACTGTAAGTGCACCACATGTTATACAGTATATGTGGATGGCGTAGTTCGTAATTTACACTTACAAGTATGCCAGATAGCCACGTTTGGTTACTTGCATTCAGTGGTGTAATTACGACCCGGGTTCGATTCCCGCATTGGGCACTTTTTTTTTATGATTAGAAAAAAGTGCTCCAATGGCCCCCGATTATTGCAAAAGTTCAACCCCACCAAACGGGGCTATGACACATTTGTAAGTGCAAAGTCGAACTTGCTTTTCACATATGTAGACATGTGGTGTACTTACAGTAAAAGCAGTCGCCTAATTCTACCCACCATGATTATCAAGGCCTGTACCACGTGTACTAGGGATAAGCAAAAAAAAAGTGGTGTAATTGGAATTTTGCTAGAATCAGGGGGTCATTTAAGGCATTTTTTTTTCTTAAGTGTCCAATGTGGGATTTGATCCCGGGTCATGACTATGGAAAATAGAAGGTTTACATCCTCCTCCACTGACCTCTATTGTAATTGTTACAACTCACAATCATCGGGAAGCTTCATCTCCAGAGAAGCTCTATTAGATAAAAAAACGGAGAGTTACCACATTCCAATATACCGCACCATTGTAAATAAAATCGAACAGACTTCGATCTGAAGCACATCCCGGGTAATTTGGGATTACAGTACAACCAGAGCATCCAACTCGCTCGAGATGACTCGCCGAGCTAATGATCCAGGCCCTGCCAGGAACTGGTCTGCCGATGCTATGGCTCCGTCTCAAAGAGTCGGAGTAGAGGAAGACCTCAATATCTGAGGAAACAAGTAAATTGGACAGAGTCTCAAAGCAGATCCGACTTCACCTCAATTCCCAACCGACTGACCCATTGTTGTACAGTATGTACGTCTTATTAACCTGAGTTAATAAAGGATATTATTATTCAGCTAGGGCACCTTAATAATCCATATATCTCTGTTTTGTTATTGTGCAACCGTTACAAACCAAATCGGTTCAAGAGTTCGACAACCTTGCTCCCAATACCTGCTGTTGGCTCGGTCACCTAGCCCCTTTACAACCCAGAGGTGCTGGTTGCCGGAAGTGACGTCATCCCTGCCGGAAGTTCCGGTCGCTGGTGACGGGTGGAATTGGTGATGCGACCTTTGGCCGCGGGCGGGCGTCCGTCGTACAGTACCGTGCTGTTTACATCCGTCAGTCTGGTATTTCCCACGGGGCAGAGTTTGTTCTCTGGGAGAGAAAATACATATAAGAAACTATGCAAAATAGGTAAAAAATAGGAGGGAGAAAAAAGGTCGAGCATATAAAATAAAGAAGACAGGTCCTGACCGTTCAAACGAGCATCTTTATTATAGTAGGGCGCCATCTATTGAGATAAATACAAACTAAACGTTGATTTAGTTTAAATTCGTGAATATTGGTCAAAATGATCGTTTTTTAACACAGAAGCGTTTAGTCTCCTAGGTGGGTCACACAGCCTGGAGGACGGGCCTGAACCGCGCACGTGTTGCTTTGTCTTGATTATTTAAAGATCAAGAACACACAGCTTGAAACTTTAATCTACTGTCAAGAACTCTGCCTGAAACTTTGACTCTACTATAATGAGCACTGCCTGAAACTTCGGTCTTACTGTCAAGAAAACCGCCTGAGACTTTGGCTGCACTGTCGAGACCACTGGCTAAAACTTTGGCTACACTATCAAGACCACTGGCTAAAGCTTTGGCTGCACTATCAAGACCACTGGCTAAAGCTTTGGCTATCAAGAATACTGCTTGAAACTTTGGTCTTACTGTCAAGAAAACCGCCTGAGACTTTGGCTACACTATCAAGACCACTGGCTAAAGCTTTGGCTGCACTATCAAGACCACTGGCTAAAGCTTTGGCTATCAAGAATACTGCTTGAAACTTTGGTCTTACTGTCAAGAAAACCGCCTGAGACTTTGGCTACACTATCAAGACCACTGGCTAAAGCTTTGGCTGCACTATCAAGAACACTGCCTGAAACTTTGACTGTACTATCAAGAACACTGCCTTAAACTTTGGCTGTACTATCAAGATCACTGCCTGAGACTTTGGCTGCACTATCAAGAACACTGCCTGAAACTTTGACTGTACTGTCAAAAACACTGATCACCAAAGGAACGTTATAAATAAGACATGAGTATCAAACAAACACAAACA